TGCCATGCTCAAATATACCTACCAACGCAATTCCGGCTTGGTTCGCGCGCACAGAAAAGTTCGCCGCATGCGACGACGGCTGCGTCTGCCGACAGATGCAAAGGAAGCGCTCAGATCCATATAGGCGTAGGGAAAAGCGTCGAACGACATGAATTTCGTTGCTTATTTGGGTGGCCCATGCTGAAATACACCTACCAGAGCAATTCCGGCTTGGTTCGCGCGCACAAAAAAGTTAGGCTCCTGCGACGACGACCGCGTCTGCCGACAAATGCTAAGGAAGTGCTCGGATCCCTATAGGCGTAGGAAAAAGCGTCGAACGACATAAATTTCGTTGCATATTCTGGTGGCCCATGCTGAAATACACCTACAAGAGCAATTCCGGCTTGGTTCGCGCGCACAGAAAAATTCGGCGCCTGCGATGACGGCCGCGTCTGCCGACAAATGCTAAGGAAGCGCATGGGTCCCTATAGGCGTACGGAAAAGCGTCGAACGACCTAAAATTCGTTGCATATTCGGGTGGCCCTTGCTCAAATACACTGACCAGAGCAGTTTCGGCTTGGTTCGCGCGCACAGAAAAGTTTGGCGCCTGCGACGACGGCCGCGTGTGCCAACAGATGCAAAGGAAGCGCTCGAAACCCTATAGGCGTAGGGAAAAGAGTCGAACGACCTGAGTGTTGTTGCTTATACAGGTGGTCTATGCTTAAATACACCTACCAAAGCAATTCCGGCTTGGTTCGCGCGCACAAAAAAGTTCTGTGATGACGGCCGCGATTGCCCACAAATGCTAAGGAAGCGTACGGATCCCTATAGGCGTAGGGAAAAGCATCGAACGACCAGAATGTTGTTGCTTATTCGGATGGCCCATGCTTGAGTACACCTACCAGAGCAATTTCGGGTTGGTTCGCGCGCATATAAAAGTCCGGCGCTTGCGATGACGGCCGCGTCTGTCGGCAAATGCTAAAGAAGCACTCGGATCCCTATAGGCGTAGGGAAAAGAGTCGAACGACCTGAGTGTTGTTGTTTATACGGATGGCCCATGCTTAAATACACCTACCAGAGCAATTCCAGCTTGGTTCGCGCGCACAAAAAAGTTCGGCGCCTGCGATGACGGCCGCGTCTGTCGACAAATGCTAAGGAAGCGCACGGCTCCCTATAGGCATAGGGAAAAGCATCAAACGACCTAAATGTTGTTGCATATTTGGGTGGCCCATGCTCAAATACACCTTCCAGAGCAATTCCGGCTTGGTTCGCGCGCATAGAAAAGTTCGGCGCCTGCGATGACGGCCGCGTCTGCCGACAAATGCTAAAGAAGCGCTCGGATCCCTATGCGCGTAGGGAAAAGTGTCGAACGACCTGACTGTCGTTGCATATTCAGGTGGCCCATGCTCAAATACACCCACCTGAGCAATTCCAGCTTGGTTCACGCGCACACAAAAGTTCGGCGCCTGCGATGACGGCCGCGTCTGCCGACATATGCTAAGGAAGCGCATGGATCCCTATCGGCGTTGGGAAAAGCGTCGAACAACCTAAATGTCGTTGCATATTCGGATGGCCCATGCTGAAATACACCTACCGGAGCAGTTCCGGCTTGGTTCGCGCGCACAGAAAAGTTCGGCGCCTGCGATGACGACCGCGTGTGCCGACAAATGCTAAAGAAGCGCTCAGATCCTTATAGGCGTAGGGAAAAGCGTCGAACAACCTGAATTTTGTTGCATATTCAGGTGGCTCATGCTTGAATACACCTACCAGAGCAATTCCGGGTTGGTTCGCGCGCACAGAAAAGTTCGGCGCCTGCGATGACGGCAGCGTCTGCTGACAAATGCTAAAGAAGCGCTCGGATCCCTGTAGGCGTAGGGAAAAGAGTCGAACGACCTGGGTGTTGTTGCTTATTCGGATGGACCATGCTTAAATACACCTACAAGAGAAATTCCGGCTTGGTTCGCGCGCACAGAAAAGTTCGGCGTCTGCGATGACGGCCGCGACTACCGACAAATGCTAAGGAAGCGGACGGCGTAGGGAAGAGCATCAAACGACCTGAATGTTGTTGCTTATTCGGATGGCCCATGCTTAAATACACATACTAGAGCAATTCGAGCTTGGTTCGCGGGCATAGAAAAGTTCGGCGCCTGCGATGACGGCCGCGTCTGCCGACAAATGCTAAGGAAGCCCTCGGATCCCTATAGGCGTAGGGAAAAGAGTCGAACGACCTGAATGTCATTGCATATTCTAGTGGCGCATGCTCAAGTAAACCTACCAGAACAATTCCGTCTTGGATCGCGAGCAAAGAAAAGTTCGGCGCCTGCGAGGACGTTCGCGTCTGCCGACAAATGCTAAGGAAGCGCTCGGATCCCTATAAGCGTAGGGAAAAGCGTCAAACGACCTGAATGTTGTTGCGTATTCGGGTGGCGCATGCTCAAATACACCTACCAGAGCAATTCCGGGTTGGTTCGCGCGCACAGAAAAGTTCGGCGTCTGCGATGACGACCGCGTCTGCCGACAAATGCTAAAGAAGCGCTCGGATCCTTATAGGCGTAGGGAAAAGAGTCAAACGACCTGAGTGTTGTTGCTTATTCGGGTGGCTTATGCTTAAATACACCTACCAGAGCAATTCCGGCTTGGTTCGCGCGCACAGAAAAGTTCGGCGCCTGCGATGACGGCCGCGACTGCCGACAAATGCTAAGGAAGCACACGGATCCCTATAGGCGTAGGGAAAAGCACCGAACGACATGAATTTTGTTGCTTATTCGGATGGCCCATGCTTAAATACACATACCAGAGCAATTTTGGGTTGGTTCGCGCGCACAAAAAAGTTCGGCGCTTGCGATGACGGTCGCGTCTGCCGGCAAATGCTAAAGAAGCGCTCGGATCCCTATAGGCATAGGGAAAAGAGTCGAACGACCTGAGTGTTGTTGTTTATACGGGTGGCCCATGCTTAAATACACCTACCAGAGAAATTCCGGCTTGGTTCGCGCGCACAAAAAAGTTCGGCGCCTGCGATGACGGCCGCGTCTGTCGACAAATGCTAAGGAAGCGCACGGATCCCTATAGGCGTAGGGAAAAGCATCAAACGACCTAAATGTTGTTGCATATTCGGATGGCCCATGCTCAAATACACCTACCAGAGCAATTCCGGCTTGGTTCGCGCGCATAGAAAAGTTCGGCGCCTGCGATGACGGCCGCGTCTGCCGACAAATGCTAAAGAAGCGCTCGGATCCCTATGCGCGTAGGGAAAAGTGTCGAACGACCTGACTGTCGTTGCATATTCAGGTGGCCCATGCTCAAATACACCCACCTGAGCAACTCCAGCTTGGTTCACGTGCACAGAAAAGTTTGGCGCCTGCGATGACGGCCGCTTCTGCCGACAAATGCTAAGGAAGCGCATGGATCCCTATCGGCGTTGGGAAAAGCGTCGAACAACCTAAATGTCGTTGCATATTCGGATGGCCCATGCTGAAATACACCTACCGGAGCAATTCCGGCTTGGTTCGCGCGCACAGAAAAGTTCGGCGCCTGCGATGACGACCGCGTGTGCCGACAAATGCTAAAGAAGCGCTCAGATCCTTATAGGCGTAGGGAAAAGCGTCGAACAACCTGAATTTTGTTGCATATTCAGGTGGCTCATGCTTGAATACACCTACCAGAGCAATTCCGGGTTGGTTCGCGCGCACAGAAAAGTTCGGCGCCTGCGATGACGGCAGCGTCTGCCGACAAATGCTAAAGAAGCGCTCGGATCCCTGTTGGCGTAGGGAAAAGAGTCGAACGACCTGGGTGTTGTTGCTTATTCGGATGGACCATGCTTAAATACACCTACAAGAGAAATTCCGGCTTGGTTCGCGCGCACAGAAAAGTTCGGCGTCTGCGATGACGGCCGCGACTGCCGACAAATGCTAAGGAAGCGCACTGCGTAGGGAAAAGCATCAAACGACCTGAATGTTGTTGCTTATTCGGATGGCCCATGCTTAAATACACATACTAGAGCAATTCGAGCTTGGTTCGCGCGCATAGAAAAGTTCGGCGCCTGCGATGACGGCCGCGTCTGCCGACAAATGCTAAGGAAGCCCTCGGATCCCTATAGGCGTAGGGAAAAGAGTCGAACGACCTGAATGTCATTGCATATTCTAGTGGCGCATGCTCAAGTAAACCTACCAGAACAATTCCGTCTTGGATCGCGAGCAAAGAAAAGTTCGGCGCCTACGAGGACGTTCGCGTCTGCCGACAAATGCTAAGGAAGCGCTTGGATCCCTATAGGCGTAGGGAAAAGAGTCGAACAACCTGAATGATGTTGCTTATTCGGGTGGCTCGTGCTCAAATACACCTACCAGAGCAATTCCGGCTTGATTCGCGCGCACAGAAAAGTTCGGTGCCTGCGATGACGGCCGTGTCTGCCGACAAATGCTAAGGAAGCGCTCGGATCCCTATAAGCGTAGGGAAAAGCGTCAAACGACCTGAATGTTGTTGCGTATTCGGGTGGCGCATGCTCAAATACACCTACCAGAGCAATTCCGGGTTGGTTCGCGCGCACAGAAAAGTTCGGCGTCTGCGATGACGACCGCGTCTGCCGACAAATGCTAAAGAAGCGCTCGGATCCTTATAGGCGTAGGGAAAAGAGTCAAACGACCTGAGTGTTGTTGCTTATTCGGGTGGCCCATGCTTAGATACTGAGAAGAATGAAGAACGAGGATGAATGAACTATGAATGAGGTGAGTACATATGGAAAACCCTAACTGGGTTGTACCCCCTATGGGATACCCCACTATAGCCTACACAACAGCATAAGCTATATAATGTTCTGACACACCCCCATAGGCAAAGTGGGGGAGAACAAGGGGTCACAAGACCAGTCAAGCAAAGCAGAGCAAGCTCAGGGTGGATCACAACGTCACCACACAGTCCGAGCACAACGACAAGGCCACAAGGCCAGTTCACATGCAGGAGTACACATATATATATAGAGCTAGACAAGCAAGAGCAGGTATATATATGTGACAGTACAAGTAAGGTCAAGAGGAGAGCAAGTGAGGCAAGACAGGTACAAGACCCAGCTGAGTGCAGAAGCGCTGATGGTCACAAGGCGCAAGTGCCTTGGTGAACACATCAGCAGTGTTGGCCTGAGAGGCCACGTACGCAAGTCGCAACTGACCACGCTGCTGCAGCTCACGAGCAAGAAAGTAACGGAGAGCAATGTGCTTCGTTCTGTGCTCCAAGCGCTGCTCTCGACACAAGGCCAGCATGGCCTTGTTGTCTACGTACAGCACTGGAGGAGAACGAGGCGGCTCTCCAAGGTCAGTCAGCAGGTAGGTGAGCCAGCGAAGCTCCTGTGCAGCCATGGCCCCGGCGTAGATCTCAGCCTCACAACTGGAGCCGAGAACAGAGGACGAGCGAGTAGCTCGCCACGAGACAGAGCCGGAACCAAGACTGAAGGTGTAACCCTGCGACGACCGCTGCGTAGCCTGGTCGTCAGCCCAAGAAGCGTCCGCGTGCCCAGTGAGGACCACTGGACTCCGCCCTCCAAGCACTAGTCCCATGCCCGACGTACTGCACAAGTATCGCAACACCCTCTTCGCTGCAGCCATGTGCTCTGGTCGGTGTCTCCCAGGAGCAACATAGCGTGCAAGAATGCTAAGAGGGTATGCAAGGTCAGGTCGTGTGCAGGTCATCAGGTACATGAGGCAGCCAACAAGCTCTGGATACGGGCCACTCGACTCTACTGACTCATCCGAAGGCAGAGCTGAGAGTGAGTGGCGAGTAGGCAGAGGAGTGGCCTGAGGCGAGGAGTACGTGAAGCCGAAGCGCTGAAGGACCTGCTGCACCATGTGTGACTGAGTCAGGGTAATGGTGCGGCGTGCTCTGTCCCGGGTGATCTGCAAGCCAAGGTAGCTGCGCAGTTCACCCAGGTCTGTGCACGTGTGTCTCTTCTGCAGCTCGGACTTCACGTGGGCGAGTCCAGCAGTGTCAGCTGTGGCAAAGACCAAGTCGTCGACGTACACGAGGATGTAGAACGGCGGCAGAGAGGTGTCGGTGCGTAGAAACAGCGACGGGTCGGCAGTAGAAGGAGCAAACCCAAGAGCCGCAAGCGTAGTCCTCAGTGTGTCGTGCCACTCACGTGGCGCCTGGCGGAGACCGTAGACTGGACGCCGGAGACTCCACTGGGTACCAGGAGGGAAAGACCCAGTGAAGCCAAGTGGGCGGCGCAGCCAGATCTCCTCGTGCAGGCTGCCCTGCAAGAAAGCAGTGCTGAAGTCGAGAGAGTGCAGCTCGTAGTCACGGTGAGCAGCAACGTGTAGCAGCACCCGAAGAGTGGTCATCTTCGGGGTGGGGGAGAAGGTCTGAAAGTAGTCAACTCCCTGTCGCTGACTGAAGCCACGAGCCACGTAACGTGCCTTGAAGACAGGCGGAGAACCCGGCGGCCGCTTCACCCTGAAGATCCACATGCCACTGACGATGTTCGCCCCAAGAGGGGGGACAGCGTCAACGTAGGTGCCTGTGGACTTCCAGGAAGCCATCTCTGCATCCATAGCTGCCTGCCACTGAGAGGAGTAGGGACCCTCTATCGCCTCCGCGTAAGAGCGCGGAGTCGGGATGTCAAGTGCATCCGGGTCTCCCTCAGGGGTAAGCAGTACGGACACGAGATGAGGTGAAGTAGCTGCCAGACACTGGAACTCCTCCTGCCTGTCCTCAAGGACGTCCGTGCCAAGGGCACACTCACCCCCGACTGACGGAGGACAGGCAGACCCAGACTCAGCGACAAGACTAGCAGCGTAGTCTAGGCGACAGCGAGCAGCAAAGTCGACGAGCTCAGTAACTAGGGCAGACGCAGCAGTAGACTCGAAGGAAGGGTCAGTGACGACAGTGGCAAGGAGACGCGTGACAGTAGGACTGGCAGCACGAAGAGAGTCCGACGCAGGGTCGGGAAGAGCAGGAAGAGAGGACTCAGGAGGAGAAGGCAAAGGGGCACGCAGAGGAGCAGTAGACGGACGCAGAGACATCCTGTGCGTGCCAGGGACAGGAGGAGGACGCTGACGCGAACCACGACCACTAGCGCGAGCAGCACGGACAGGCGACGCAGGGCGAGACGCAGGCTCACGACGCTCAGTAAGACCTCCAGTAGGACCAGTGTAGGGAGAAGGAGCAGGTAAAGGGGAGGTAGGCTGTAGCAGTGACCGCGACGGGACAGGCTGTGGACCCTCCAAGAGAGGAGGAGGACCAGGAGAGGGCGGAAGACCAAGAACCTGCTGCAGGAGTGGAACGAAGTACGGTCGAGGCCGCGTAGCTACGCCAGAAACAGCAGGGACAGCACCAGTACCCCCAGCAGGAGCACCCGCTCCAGCAGCACCTCCAGTAGCTCCAGAACCTCGAGCAACACCAGGAGCACCCCCAGCAGGACCGCCAGTGGTAGTCTCAGCTCCAACACCCTCAGCAGCACCAGCTCCAGTCGAACCCGCAGGCCCAGCAGCTCCAGTACTCCCAGTACGAGCACCTCCGGGACCCGCAACAGCAGCACCCTCAGTAGCCGACGAACCTCCAGCACCAGCAGCACGGCTCCAGCGCCGGGCAAACCACTCGCGCAGCTCCTGTGGAGAGAGTGGCTCCCGGCGAGACAAAGCACGCGTAGAAACTCGAGGCGGAGGACCTCCAGGCGCAGCACTCCCAGGTCCAGCACCCCCAGGCAAAGCACCCCCAGGCGTAGCACCCCCACACTCAGCACCCCCAGGCTCAGCACCCCCAGGCTCAGCACTCCCAGGCTCAGCACCCCCAGGCTCAGCACCCCCAGACTCAGCACCCCCAGGCTCAGCACCCCCAGGCCCAGCACCCCCAGGCCCAGCACCCCCAGGCTCAGCACCCCCAGCAGCACCAGAGTCACCAGTGACCTCGACAGGCTCGACTGCGTCTACCTGGGACACACCTGAAGGGGCAGGACCCTGAGGGGGGAGGGGGTCTACCGGGGGGGGACCTGGTACAAGGAAGAGCGGGGGCGGGGGGGGGGACGGAGTGCGGTAGGGGAAGAGGCGGTAGTAGGGTACCGACTCGTCGAACGTGACGTCCTGAGAGGACAGAACACGGCGAGAGGTGGGGTGGTAGAACTGCCACCCAGGCGCGTCTGGGGGGAACCCCAGGAAGACGCAAGGAGCAGCACGAGGGGACAGTTTGTCCGCAGACAAGTCGCGGACAAACGCCCGAGATCCCCAGACCCGGAACGCCGACGCATCGCCCACCTTCCCGGTCCACAGCAAGGCTGGGGAGGTCTCCGGCCTGGAGACCCTGGGGTGAAGGTTGATCTGACGTGCCGCGTACCTCACCGCAAACGGCCACAGAAAATGGGGGGCAGCCGCATGCATCATAGACGTACGAGCGACGTCCATGACCATGCCAATGCGGCGCTCAGCAATCCCATTTTGCTGCGGAGATTCCGGGAGCGTGAAGGTCTGACGGATGCCTCGTGCACGACAGTAGGCTCGCAGAAGGCCAGAGGAGAACTCTCCGCCTCTGTCCGAGTGCAGACGCAGAACAGGAAAGTCGGAGCCAAAGCTCTGCCTGAGCTGGAGACGAGCTGCGCGGATCCAGTCGATCAGCACCTCAGTGACATCACCCGTGCCGCGCAAGGGGAAGACTGCGGTGTAACGCGAGTAGTCGTCAACAACGAGCAGGAAGTAGCGCTCGTGACCCTGCCCACGGACGCGGGCTGGGCCCCACACGTCCATGTGGAGCGTCTGCAACGGGGCCTCTGTCGGAGGAAACTGGGAGGAGTGAGGGGCAGCACGCTGGCGCCCCTCGACACAGGGGACACAGGTAGGGCCAGGGCCCTGAGGAAGGGGAGGGAGGGACCGGGGGAGACCAGACACTAGAAGACGGGAGGCCATGCCTCTGAGCCGAAGCAGAGAGGGGTGACCAAGACGGTGGTGCCAGAGAAGAGTCTCGTGAGACAGGAGACGACAAGAACAGGGGGCAGACTCAGGACCAGACCTGGACGCAGCAGCAAACACCTGACCCGACGAAGCGACTCTACCAGACTCAGTAACGGGAGGAGACGCAGTGGTCAGTGTGTACAGGCTCGACCCCGGCTGACGGGTAAACGTAGCCAGGTGTCGGCCTGTGCGAGCCTCTGTACAGTGCGTCACCCGCTGACGCGCAGGAGTGAACTGGTGTACACCCGCATCCTGTAGGTCAGCACCACTCACCAGGTTCGTAGAGAACGAGGGGAGGTAGAGACCAGACAGGGTGCCAGAGGGAGCCGCCGGACACGGGAGGACTGTGGAGAAGCGAGACAGGACAGGACCCCCAGAGGGGTCAGCCAGAGACACTGCAACCGGTCGACTCAGCGGTGTGAGTGTGGTGCGGTCCCTAAAGAAGGAGCGAGACGCCCCAGAGTCAAGGGTGAAGGTGAGGGAGGCCGAAGCCGACGTAGTACCTGAGAGCGCAGACTCACCAGTACCTGAGGACGCAGACACACGAGCACCTAGGGCAGCAGCGTCGCAAGCACCTAGGGCAGCAGCCTCACCAGGACCTAGAGCAGCAGTCTCAATACCCGGATCGGGCGGGAAACACCGGTAACAGTCACCCTCATCACTAATAGACACAGCATACATGGCAGAGAGAATAGCATCAAAGTCAAGATCATAGATGGCAACACCCGCCCTGGACAGGTCACCCCAACGAGGGATCTCTGAGGCCTCCGGGAACTGGTGACGCCACGCGTCCGTCAGGCGGCCAAAGCAGCGCTGAGTGGGGTGGGGACCCCCACACTGCTCACCCGCACGGTCGCCGGTGCGCAAAACGTAGGAGCACGGACCAAAACCCCCACCTCGCTGACGCGCAGTGTACCACTCACGAAGCTGCTGAGGGGACAAGGTGTCACGACCACGCTGCTGCTGCTGGCGCGAGCCACCACCGGAGCCACTCCTCTGCGAAGACCCGCGACCAGCACCACCTCCACCCCCGCCGCCTCCTCCGCCTCCGCCGCCTCCGCTACTGCCGCCGCCTCCACCTCCGCCTCCGCCGCCGCCACCTCCGCCACCCCCGCTCCCACTGCCACCGCCGCCGACACCTCCGCCTCCACTGCCGCCACCGACTCCTCCACCCCCACCTCCACTCCCACCGCCACCCCCACTCCCCCCACTGCCGCCACCTCCACCTCCACCGCCCCCGCTCGCTCCTCCAGCGCCCTTGCCCCCCTTGCCCTTGCCAGAGCGGCGTCTCCCACTAGGGGCAGACGCCACACCGACCGACTCAAGACCAAGGAGGTCGGCCGCAGCAGCAGAGGCAACAGAGGGCAGAAGGGGGGAGGGGGAACACCCCTCAAAGATGGGGGTGCGCGGGTCACCACGAGAGGCCCCTACAGCGACTATGCTCTTCTCGGCCGCTAGGAGGGACTTCTCGAGGAGGTCAACAGTGAGAGTGGTGGGACAGACAGAGAGAAAGTGGTCCCTGACTACGCGAAGGGAGTCAGGAAGGCGAGTGACTATGTAGTAAAGAGTGATGTACATGGGGGGGGGGTTCTTGGCGCAGAAGTCAGCAGGGAGTGCAGCGCGGTAGCGAGTGTCACTAGTGCGGAGGTGCGTAATGAGGTCAGCGACTGTGGGAAAGGCAGCAAGGTCAGGAAAGAGGTACGGTAGCATGAGACGGCTCAGTGCAGCAGTGGCAGGGGAGGAGTAGCGCGCAACTACAGCGTCGTACAAGGTCTGAGCACTCTTGTACTGACTAAAGTGTGCACGCTCGGAGGTAGGGAGGTGGCGACGCACAGCAAGACGTGCAGCAGCGTCGCGCGTGGCCCACTGGGAGCGAACAGTGGCGTCGGCGTCAGCAGTAGGGGCAGTGGAGGCGCCAGAGGTGAGGTCAAAGAGAGAGAGACCATCTGCCCTATCGCACTGTAAGAACAGCTGCAGGTCATCCACCCAGACCTCAAAGTCAATGGCCCGACCCTCAGCGTCAAAGACTAGAACACTAGGGGTAGCCATGACCCTAGACGACTGGCAGCGCAAACAGTAGGGTGAGGGCAGTGCAGTGAAAGGGCGCTGTGCTCACCAGACTGGACAGGTCGGGCGGCCCGGAAGGAGGGCGGCGCGGCGGCTCGGCGGCTCGGCTGCCGGGCGGCTCGGCGGCTCGGCGGCTCCGCTGCTGGGCGGCACGGCTGCTGGGCGGCTCGGCTGCTGGGCGGCTCGGCTGTTGAGCGGCTCGGCTGCTGGGCGGCTCGGCTGCTCTGCTGTCGGGCGGCTCGGTTGTGCTGCTGAGGGGCAGCACGGCTCGGGCTGCTCGGGCGGTGCGGGCGGCTCGGGCGGCTCGGGCGGCTCAGCTCCTCAGCGGCACAGGCGGCGTGGGGACCGAGACGGCGGCGCGCGGCTGGGACGGGCGGCGCACGGGCGGCGTGGGGCCGGGACTGCGGTGCGCGGCCGGGACGGGCGGCTCACGGGCGGCGTGGGGCCGGGACGGGCGGCGCGCGGGCGTCGAGGGGCCGGGACGGGCGGCGCGCGGGCGTCGAGGGGCCGGGACGGGCGGCGCGCGGGCGTCTAGGGGTCGGGCCGGGTGGCGCGCGGGCGTCTAGGGGCCGGGACGGGCGGCGCGTGGGCGTCGAGGGGCCGGGACGGGCGGCGCGCGGGCGTCTAGGGGCCGGGACGGGCGGCGCGCGGGCGTCTAGGGGCCGGGACGGGCGGCTCACGGGCGGCGAGGGGCCGGGACGGGCGGCGCGCGGGCGTCGAGGGGCCGGGACGGGCGGCGCGCGGGCGTCGAGGGGCCGGGACGGGCGGCGCGCGGGCGTCTAGGGGCCGGGACGGGCGGCGCGCGGGCGTCTAGGGGCCGGGACGGGCGGCGCGCGGGCGTCTAGGGGCCGGGACAGGCGGCGCGCGGGCGTCTAGGGGCCGGGACGGGCGGCGCGCGGGCGTCTAGGGGCCGGGCCGGGTGGCGCACGGGCGTCTAGGGGCCGGGACGGGCGGCGCGCGGGCGTCTAAGGGGCCGGGACGGGCGGCGCGCGGGCGTCTAAGGGCCGTGACGGGCGGCTAAAGGGGCCACTAGGGGCCAAGAGAGAGGGGAGCGCGACTCGGGTAGGGGCAGAGTGCGCTCCGGGCAGAAAAAAAAAAAAAAAAACGGTGGGCCCTAGGAACAGTTCCCACGAGGGAACCTGCTCGATACCATGAGAAGAATGAAGAACGAGGATGAATGAACTATGAATGAGGTGAGTACATATGGAAAACCCTAACTGGGTTGAACCCCATATGGGATACCCCACTATAGCCTACACAACAGCATAAGCTATATAATGTTCTGACAGATACACCTACCAAAGCAATTTCGGCTTGGTTCGCGCGCACAGAAAAGTTCGGCGCCTGTGATGACGGCCGCGACTGCCGACAAATGCTAAGGAAGCACACGGATCCCTATAGGCGTAGGGAAAAGCACCGAACGACATGAATGTTGTTGCTTATTCGGATGGCCCATGCTTAAATACACATACCAGAGCAATTTTGGGTTGGTTCGCGCGCACAAAAAAGTTCGGCGCTTGCGATGACGGTCGCGTCTGCCGGCAAATGCTAAAGAAGCGCTCGGATCCCTATAGGCGTAGGGAAAAGAGTCGAACGACCTGAGTGTTGTTGTTTATACGGGTGGCCCATGCATAATCACCTACCAGAGCAATTCCGGCTTGGTTCGCGCGCACAAAAAAGTTCGGCGCCTGCGATGACGGCCGCGTCTGTCGACAAATGCTAAGGAAGCGCACGGATCCCTATAGGCGTAGGGAAAAGCATCAAACGACCTAAATGTTGTGTGAATCAAGAAAACAGGAATGAAATGACTAAGTGAAAGTTGGGTACAAAAGGCAAACCCTAGGCAACTGTACCCCATATGTGCTACCCCACTATAGCCTACAGTAGCTATGTCATATAACTCTGACACACCCCCATAGGCAAAGTGGGGGAGAACAAGGGGTCACAAGACCAGTCAAGCAAAGCAAAGCAAGCTCAGGGTGGATCACAAAGTCACCACACATTCCGAGCACAAGTTCAAGGCCACAAGGCCAGTTCACATGCAGGATTACATATATATATAAGGCTAGACAAGCAAGAGCAGGAGTATATATATATGCAACAGTACAAACAAGGTCAAGAGGTGAGCAAGTGAGGCAAGGTAGGTACAAGACCCAGCTGAGTACAGAAGCGCTGATGGTCACAAGGCGCAAGTGCCTTGGTGAAGATATCAGCAGTGTTGGCCTCAGAGGCCACGTACGCAAGTCGCAGCTGACCACGGTGCTGTAGCTCACGAGCAAGGAAGTAGCGAAGAGCAATGTGCTTCGTTCTGTGCTCCAGTCTCTGCTCTTGACACAAGGCCAGCATGGCCTTGTTGTCTACGTAGAGCACTGGAGGAGAACGAGGCGGCTCTCCGAGGTCAGTCAGCAGGTAGGTGAGCCTGCGAAGCTCCTGTGCAGCCATGGCCCCGGCGTAGATCTCAGCCTCACAACTGGAGCCGAGAACAGAAGACGAGCGAGTAGCCCGCCACGAAACAGAGCCGGAACCAAGGCTGAAGGTGTAACCCTGTGACGACCGCTGCGTAGCCTGGTCGTCAGCCCAAGAAGCGTCTGCGTGTCCAGTGAGGACCACTGGACTCTGCCCTCCAAGCACAAGCCCCATGCCCGACGTACTGCACAAGTAGCGCAACACCCTCTTCGCTGCAGCCATGTGCTCCAGTCTGTGTCTCCCAGGAGCAACATAGCGTGCAAGAATGCTAAGAGAGTATGCAAGGTCAGGTCGTGTGCAGGTCATCAGGTACATGAGGCAGCCAACAAGCTCTGGGTACGGGCCACTCGACTCTACGGACTCATCCGAAGGCAGAGCTGAGAGCGAGTGGCGAGTAGGCAGAGGAGTGGCCTGAGGCGAGGAGTACGTGAAGCCGAAGCGCTGAAGGACCTGCTGCACCATGTGTGACTGAGTCAGGGTAATGGTGCGGCGTGCTCTGTCCCGGGTGATCTGCAAGCCAAGGTAGCTGCGCAGTTCACCCAGGTCTGTGCACGTGTGTCTCTTCTGCAGCTCGGACTTCACGTGGGCGAGTCCAGCAGTGTCAGCTGTGGCAAAGACCAAGTCGTCGACGTACACGAGGATGTAGAACGGCTGCAAAGAAGTGTCGGTGCGCAGAAACAGCGACGGGTCGGCAGTAGAGGGAGCAAACCCAAGAGCCGCAAGTGTAGTCCTCAGTGTGTCGTGCCACTCACGCGGTGCCTGGCGGAGACCGTAGACTGGCCGCCGGAGGCTCCACTGGGTGCCAGGAGGAAAAGACCCAGTGAAGCCAGGTGGGCGACGCAGCCAGATCTCCTCGTGCAGGCTGCCCTGCAAGAAAGCAGTGCTGAAGTCAAGAGAGTGCAGCTCGTAGTCGCGGTGAGCAGCTATGTGCAGCAGTACCCGAAGAGTGGTCATCTTTGGGGTGGGAGAGAAGGTCTGAAAGTAGTCAACTCCCTGCCGCTGACTGAAGCCACGAGCCACGTAACGCGCCTTGAAGACAGGCGGAGAACCCGGCGGCCGCTTCACCCTGAAAATCCACATGCCACTGACGATGTTCGCCCCAGGCGGGGGAACCTCGTCAACGTAGGTGCCTGTGGACTTCCAGGAAGCCATCTCTGCGTCCATAGCTGCCTGCCACTGAGAGGAGTAGGGACCCTCTATCGCCTCCGCGTAAGAGCGCGGAGTCGGGATGTCAAGTGCATCCGGGTCTCCCTCAGGGGTAAGCAGTACGGACACGAGAT